CCGCTGAATAAGCCATACGCCAGAAGTCATGCATTGAATCTGGTACCACACATGCATTCTGAAGTTCCTCTTCAGTAGCCGGTCGTACGTGAGTACCCCCTCTTCCCAAGCAAGTTCCAATTCATCCCACACCGGCTGCATGAACACACCCATATTGTCGCCCGGGTGTCCAGGTATTATCAGCGTCAAGAGCACGTTCTTAGGTTCAAACATGACGCCGGGGGGGAGATTGAGGGGGATCACAAACACGGGCCAGCAAGTGTCTGGGGCCACCATCATTCCAAACGGGTTGAACCCATCATTGCCAAAGGCCACGCTGCATATTCCGAGCCTCCATAGCCTTGACAGGATTCATGTTATCGAAGTGCTTCCATGCATCACCGTCCGCCGGGTGTACCATCTTGTCAGGATGGTATCTTTTGCCATTCTTGTGCCACGTCATCTGTTTCGCGGACTCCTCCGTCATATCCAGTCGTTGCAGCCTCGGTAGGAAAGGAAGGTGCCGTCACGACCTTCTCGGGGACCTTAGGCATTTCATGCTGCCATTAGAGCCTTCTACCAACACGAACCTAGAGGCATCGCGACCGGACAGGTTTTTGCTTCCTCGAGGTCTCCCCGGCAGGACGCACTTTCGGACAAGCATGGATCCCCTCATACGGCATCTTAAGTGCACGAAGGAGCTTACGTGTAGCGCGTAGGTGTTCGTCGGCAGGACATGATCTCGCCAAAGCGGTCCCCCAACAATGCTCAACACGAGATCGAAGCCGTCTCGACTAATGCCCAGTGCGACTTCAACCCTATCAGGCGTGAGGCGGCATCCGATTCATGTAAGCTTTGTCTTCTCGTGAAGGGGCTTACGTGCCGACTCCATCATGTCGTAGAAGGCCTTCGCGGTTTCCTCCGGATCTTCCTCCACATCCATTCCTTCGCCAAACCGTAGCCGTGGAAGTCGCCATCATATTCGCCATCCGGCATCACCATCATACTCCTCGAGGACGGGTCGCACCACCTCGTCCCTAATAGGATGGTATTCACCATGGTGGCGCCTAACGGGTATAGTTTGGAACGAACCTGCTTGAACAGATCTCTCAACACCGAGCCTTTTACTTTCTTCTTGTTGTTCGCACTCACGGCTGCAGGGACACAGCATCCGAATCGACCCTTTAGCGGTGGGCCAAATGCATGCTCCAGAACTCGATCGTCCCCCGATCCATTCGTGGTTCTTACTTGCGAAGCCCAGTACATCCACTCACGGTCACCCATGCTCTCGTCATGCGGCAATGTTAACATGTGATAAAACCAGCAAGTGCATCTACAACGCGCTCCTACCATCTAATAGGTGAAGGATAGGTCCTAATCCCACCCGAGCATCAGCGCAGACGAGGTTAGCTTCCATGCTCGCTCCGTCCTAGACGGAATTTCAAGACACCTCCCATTTGTTCTCCCGATACACGCCCCGTGGGAGAGAGTGTATCCAGAGAATAACGGGAGGTCTGCGAAACTCCGACTTCGGACGGGGAGCGGAACATGGGAGCTAACCTCTCTCTGCGCATCCTCGGCTGTCCAAATAACGTGGACAATCCGAAACGGATACGGTTATACATATGCGAAGAACGCATACTTCCAACCATATCCGTTTCGGACGGGAGACGCCTAACTGGGTAACGCGACCTACGACTACATGTGGCGGAAAGAGGGGTCATACCGCAGGTGCCGGTGAAGAAAGGCTAAGCGGGCGGTCTTAGAAGTCGTGCTCCTCGGCTAGCCTCCAATGGGAGCCCTCACGAAAAAAGAAAAACAATTAGTGAGAACGAAAAATTTCGGCAGCACCTCCCCTGTATGGGAAGGTTACCAAACCTGCAAGAAAAGACGGCACGATGGCCGACAAACACATATACATGTCAGGCACGATGGCCGACAACCACAAATGTATTTCCAATCCATGCAGAAGAATATAAGCAGGTATTAACAAAGTAAACTACTACTACTAGTAGTACTACTACCTCGTCGTCACGGACGGCGTCACCGCAGCGTGGAAGCGAGTGAGAGGCGCGCGAGACGGCGACGGCGAGGCGAGGCGAGATGGCGCGAGGCGAGGCGAGGATGGCGAGGCGAGCGAGGCAGCGAGGCAGGCGACGCGACCAGGCCACGGACGGCGGCAGCGCGCGACGGCGGGCAGCGGAAGGAACGGACGAAGCGGGCACGGATCGGGTGGGGGCATGACGCGCCGGGCAGCGGTCAGGCAGCAGGCCGCCGCTGAGGCCGACGCCGAGCTACGCGCGCTGGCAGGCGGGCCGGGCCGGATCGGGCGGCGCGGTGAGGGGCTGGATGGGCGGCCGGCGTGGGAGGGGCCAGCATGGGTGTGTGAGGCCATGGGAGCGCTGGGGGGGCGCCTGGGAGGGATGGCCTGGCGGGAGGGACCATGTGGGGGCCACGGGAGGGCGACGGGCCGGGGAGGACCAAGCCATGTGAAGGCACGGGAGAGGCCACGCTGGAGGGCCAGGCGCGTGGGAGGAGCAAGGTTGGCCGGGAGGGGCGGCGCCGGGGAGGGCGCGCGGGCCGGGAGGCGACGCGGCCGGGAGGACCAATGGGGGAGGCCGGGAGGGCCCGCTGGGAGGCGCGCACGGGAGGGGGGCCGCAGCTGTGGAGATGTCCAGTTTTAGCCACCCGACGTCGCCACTTGCTCGAAACTTTCTCAAATTTTACCACAGCCTCCGTGTCACGATGACAAGACACGTCGTCAAGTTTCGTCATTTTCGGACTCGTTTCGATTTTATAAAATTTAAAAACACTTTTCACGCTGCGTGGCTCGGCGTGTTCCGACACCAACACGGTCGAAATTTCACGCGAGGCCCCCAGACACGGCCTCAACATGCTCCAAACATCATGAATATCATTTTTACGAATGGCGGATTCCATTATTTCATGTACTGCAGTTCAAATCGAGCTGCTTGGAAAAAATCAAAAAAGCGAGAAAAAATCTACGGAATATAGCAAAATAAATCAAAATGATCCCAAACTTGGAATATATCATGTACTTACTATATCAAGGCAACACAAAAAACTAGGATCGAAAATAAAAAAAAATAAAAATTCTTTGCCGACTGCCAGGGAGGATGGCAGTTGGCAAAGCCTGCGCCTTTGCCGATCTGGCGGCGGAGTGGCGATCGGCAAAGGTGACGGTGTGGATGGCGTCAACCATGGCCTGCCTTTGCCGATTGCAATTCTTTGCCAAGCGCTGGCAATCGGCAAATCCATGGCTTTGCCAACTGCCTGGCAGTCGGCAAAGTCAGGCAGTCGGCAAATCCTGCTTTGCCGACTGCAGGAAATTCCAGTTGGCAAAGGGACCTCTTTGCCGAGTGTCGAAAAAAAACAGTTGGCAAAGAAAATTGCAGTCGGCAAAGAGCCAGTTTCCTGTAGTGCATAGCTTGCATGTCGCACGATACGGCGCCGTCGCATACAATTTTCTTCCTGTTTGCTCGATCTTGTTGTCAGCGGTTTATTGTTGGCTTAGTTTTTTTAGTCATTGTAGTGTTGTATTGGTTTCTCTTAGATGCTCCTTGTCGGAGCCATTGTTTGTCTAGCCTAGGCATTTTTATTTACTAATAATATAATCGGAAGATCTCTTGCTCGGTTTGTTAAAAGAAAAAGAAATAAGTATATATATAATAACATAAGTAAGTATTCAAAAGCACGACTCCAAATTCAATTACATCAAGATAAACCGCAGCTGCAGGTAAGAAAACTTAAAATACAACTCACACTCACAATACGATCGAGTCGATGGACAAAGCTAAGGGCCGGGATGAAATCACACCACTCACAATAATTAATGGACAAAACCAAGATGAACCGAATGGCAGGTAGATGCAGACTTGCTTGGGCTCATCATAAGACTGCTTGTAAAGGAGGGGCACCTGCTTGTGCACCGCTGACGGCTTGTGTGTTGTTTGTCCGCTCTCCAGGTCCAGGGTCGACGGCATCACACAGCCCGACCACACTGACGTGGACCACAATGTAGATCACCACTGCGACGACCAGCACAATGACATACAAGGACGTTTCCAATGTTCGGCAGCTACCAGCGGCATAGGCCACCAGTATCCCAACCAAGTCCAGTGCGACCACTATGTTCGTCGCCATAAGGAGTTTCTTCTTCTGCGGTTCATCCCTTTGCATCATATTCAGTAGTTCACTTTGCAGCAGCAGGATGACGACGACGATGGAAGCGACGAAGGAGCTGGAGTTGCTGTAGAAGAAGACATGGTACCGGCGTAGGTTGCTGTCATGGAGCACGGGGCTCCCGGCGGCGGACCCTTCGGGCCACACACCACCTGGCGGGTCTAGGCCCGCCTGATACGTGTTGGAGTTGTTCCAAATTCACTCCAGGATATAGGCCGGGCTTCTGACGGAGCGGAGCGGAGGCCCGTCGCCGGAGGCTTGGGCCGGTACGGTATATACACCCTTGCTAGGGTTTCGTGGAGACTTGATTCTCTTGTAAGCCGCCATAGGCGTGTAACCCAAAACTCTTGAGATAGTGAGATTGTTCTTTGTTTGGTGCCCATGGTTTTCCCCTTCACATCGGAGGGTTTTCCACGTTAAATCGTGTGTCTCCTCTGTGGCTTGATTCTTTACTTCATATTCCTATACGTCGTTCATAACAAGTGGTACCAGAGCTTTGGTTGCTGTTAGGGTTCATGACGACGTCGATGAAGTTCGATCTTCCGCTGCTGAACTACGACACGCGGTTCTCGCTATGGCAAGTCAAGATGCGGGGATTCTGGCGCAGACTCATGACTATGACGAGGCGCTGGATAGTTTCGGAAAGAGGAAGGCCGAGTGGACTCGGAAGAGATCCGCAAGGATCGAAGGCACTCGCGCCTAATTCGGTTGCATCTTCATAATGATATTTTGCGAGAGTGTCTCAAAGAGAAAAGCTGCTGCGAGAACTATATATTTGGGCGGAATCGATCTGTATGTCCAAGGATCTAACCAGTAAGATGCAGATGAAGATGAAGCTGTTCACCCTGAAGATGAAGGAGGAGGATTCAGTGATGAGCCACATCGCTGAATTCAAGAAGATCGTCGCCGACCTAGTGTCGATGGAGGTGAAGTATGATGATGAGGACTTAGGTCTTTTACTGCTATGTTCTTTGCCAAATTCGTATGCAAATTTTCGTGACACCATACTTTTGAGCCGTGATGAACTAACCCTAAAGGAAGTTTATGAGGCTCTCCAGTCTAGGGAGAAGATGAGAGGCATGGTGCAGAATGACGGGACGTCGTCCTCCAAGGGCGATGCTTTGCATGTGAGAGGCAGAACTGAAAACAGATCCTCCAATGATGGCAATGATGGAAGAAAGAACTACGAAAGGAGAGGCCGTTCAAAGTCCAAGCCGCATGGTAATAAAAAGTTCTGTGTTTATTGCAAGCTGACAAATCATAATATTGAGGATTGCAGAAAAGTACAGAATAAGGAGAAGAGGAAAAACAAGTCGGCTGGTAAGGTCTCTGTTGCTGCTGCTGCGTCTGATGATGATTCTGGAGATTGTCTGGTAGTATTTGCTGGTTGTGTTGCTGGTCATGATGAATGGATTCTCGATTCCGCATGTTCATTTCATATTTGCACTAACAGAAATTGGTTTAGCTCGTATAAGCCTGTGCAGAAAGGGGATGTTGTGCGGATGGGAGATGATAACCCGTGTGACATTGTGGGGATTGGATCAGTTCAGATCAAGACTGATGATGGCATGACACGCACGCTGAAAAATGTCAGGTATATACCAGGGATGTCCAGAAATCTTATCTCATTGAGCACGCTTGATGCAGAAGGTTACAAATATTCCGGTTCAGATGGCGTTCTGAAGGTATCAAAAGGTTCTCTTGTTTGCTTGAAAGGTGATCTTAATTCTGCAAAGTTATATGTCCTTAGAGGGTGTACTTTACCTGGTTCTGATTCCGCTGTTGCTGCTGTTACTAATGATGAACCTAGTAAAACTAACCTTTGGCATATGCGTTTGGGACATATGAGTCACCATGGTATGGCAGAATTGATGAAGAGAAACCTGCTGGATGGCTGCACTTCGAGTAAAATAAAGTTTTGTGAGCATTGTATTTTCGGAAAGCATAAAAGGGTACATTTCAACACTTCTGTTCACACCACTAAAGGTACTCTTGATTATGTTCATGCTGATTTATGGGGCCCTTCCTGTAAGTCCTCACTTGGTGGTGCTCGTTACATGCTTACAATTATTGATGATTACTCTAGAAGGGTTTGGCCTTATTTTCTGAAACAGAAAGATGATACTTTTGCTGCTTTTAAGGACTGGAAAGTAATGATAGAAAGGCAAACTGAAAGGAAGGTAAAATTGCTTCGTACTGATAATGGTGGAGAATTTTGTTCGCGTGAATTTAATGATTATTGCAGATCGGAAGGCATTGTTAGGCAACACACCATACCCCATACTCCACAACAGAATGGTGTGGTCGAACGCATGAACAGAACAATCATGTCCAAGGCCGTTGCATGTTGTCTAATGCCGGGATGAGCAAGCATTTTTGAAATTTGAAGCGCTAATCACGCCTATTACTTGATAAGCAGTGTCGCCTTCTATTCCACTAAATAAAAGAACTCCCATTGAGGTATGGTGCAAAAGCACGCTTCTTTGATTATTCACAGTTGAAAGTTTTGGATGCTGCGCTTATGCTCATGTTGATAATGGAAAATTAGAGCCTAGAGCTGTTAAGTGTCTTTTCCTTGGTTATAGTTCGGGAGTCAAAGGCTATAAATTGTGGAATCTGAAACAGGAAAGACTTTTATGAGCGAAGTGTTGTTTTCAATGAATCTGTGATGTTTCTTGACGCTTGCCCTCGGATCATGTTCCAGAAAAAAGAGCTGCAGCGTATGCGCATGCAGGTGGAGCATGTTGATGATGATACTGTGTGTGCGTGTGGAGCCTGTTGATGAGCATGGTGACCATGATAATGATGTTCTTTGAGGATGATGCTCATGATGATGTTCAACAAACTCCTCCTATTTTGCAGTTAGAGGAGGATTTACCTATTACTCAACGCAAGTCAAAAAGGACAATTGCACCTCCTAAGCGTCTTATTGAAGAGTGTAATTTGTCTTACTATGCTTTGAGTTGTCTTTGAGCAGGTGGAGAATGTTCATGAGCCAACAACCTATAAAGAAGCTATTCGTTGTGGTGATCTTGAGAATTGGATTTCGCTATGCATGAGGAGATGCGATCTCTTGAGAAGAACAATTACATGGGAGATTGTACCTTTGCCTAAGAATAAGAAGACCATCATTTGCAAATGGATCTTCAAGAGAAAGGAGGTTTATCTCCAAGCGAGCCTCCAAAGTATAAGGCAAGGTTAGTTGCTAAAGGCTACTGATTAAATTTCGGTGTTGACTACAATGATGTGTTCTCTCCAGTGGTAAAACACAGTTCAATTCATACTTTCCTTAGTATTGTTGCTTCACATGATCTTGAGCTTGAGCAGTTAGATGTGAAGACTGCGTTTTTGCATGGAGAGCTTGAGGAGGACATATACATGGACCAACCAGAAGGGTTCATAGTGCCTGGCAAGGAAAAATATGTGTGTAAGTTGAAGAGATCCTTGTATGGTTTGAAACAGTCCCCTCGTCAGTGGAACAAGAGGTTTGATTCATTTATGTTAGCACACAGTTTTAAAAGATCTAAGTATGATAGCTGTGTTTACATCAAGCATGTTAATGGATCACCTATATATTTGCTATTATATGTTGATGATATGCTGATTGCTGCCAAGAGTAAGATTGAAATCATTAAGTTAAAGAAGCTATTGAGTAGTGGTTTTGATATGAAAGATCTTGGTAGTGCTAAGAAAATTCTTGGTATGGAAATTAGTAGAGACAGAAAATCTGGTTTGCTATTTCTTAGTCAACAAAATTATATCAAGAAAGTTCTTCGGCGTTTCAATATGCAAAATGCTAAGGATGTTAGTACTCCTATTGCACCTCACTTTAAGTTGTCAGCTGCTCAGTGTCCTAGTACAGATGAAGAGATTGAATACATGTCAAGGGTTCCTTATTCTAGTGCTGTTGGGTCTTTGATGTATGCCATGGTTTGCTCTCGTCTAGATTTGTCATATGCTATGAGTCTTGTTAGTAGATATATGTCTAATCCTGGCAAAGAACATTGGAGGGCAGTTCAGTGGATTTTCAGGTACCTCAGAGGCACAGCAGATTCCTGTTTAAAGTTTGGAAGAACTGATAAGGGTCTTATTGGCTATGTGGATTCTGATTATGCTGCTGATCTGGACAGGCGAAGATCACTTACAGGTTATGTGTTTACTGTTGGCAGTTGTGCTGTGAGTTGGAGGGCTACTTTACAGTCAGTTGTTGCTTTGTCTACTACTGAAGCAGAATATATGGCTATTTGTGAAGCGTGCAAAGAATTAATTTGGCTGAAAGGTTTGTACGCTGAGCTTTGTGGAGTTGAATCTTGCATAAGTTTGCACTGTAACAGTCAAAGTGCAATTTACCTCACTAAAGATCAGATGTTCCATGAAAGAACTAAGCACATAGATATCAAGTATCATTTTGTGCGTGATGTGATTGAAGAAGGTAAGCTGAAGGTATGCAAGATTAGTACTCATGACAATCCTGCTGATATGATGACAAAGCCTGTTCCTGTTGCTAAGGTTGAGCTGTGCTCAAGCTTAGTTGGTTTAATTGGATAGTCCAAGAGACTATTGTTGGCACCAGTGGTTTTTTATCTTTGTTATGTTCAGGATGAAGGGTTGATTTATGATACAAGATGAATTTGTCTCAAGGTGGAGTTTGTTGGAGTTGTTCCAAATTCACTCCAGGATATAGACCGGGCTTCTGACGGAGCGGAGCGGAGGCCCGTCGCCGGAGGCTTAGGCCGGAGCGTAGCGGACGTGGACCACACTGACGTGGTCCACAATGTAGATCACCACTGCGACGACCAGCACAATGACATACAAGGACGTTTCCAATGTTCGGCAGCTACCAGCGGCATAGGCCACCAGTATCCCAACCAAGTCCAGTGCGACCACTATGTTCGTCGCCATAAGGAGTTTCTTCTTCTGCGGTTCATCCCTTTGCATCATATTCAGCAGTTCACTTTGCAGCAGCAGGATGACAACGACGATGGAAGCGACGAAGGAGCTGGAGTTGCTGTAGAAGAAGACATGGTACCGGCGTAGGTTGCTGTCATGCAGCACGGGGCTCCCGGCGGCGGACCCTTCGGGCCACACACCACCTGGCGGGTCTAGGCCCGCCTGATACGTGTTGGAGTTGTTCCAAATTCACTCCAGGATATAGGCCGGGCTTCTGACGGAGCGGAGCGGAGGCCCGTCGCCGGAGGCTTGGGCCGGTACGGTATATACACCCTTGCTAGGGTTTCGTGGAGACTTGATTCTCTTGTAAACCGCCATAGGCGTGTAACCCAAAACTCTTGAGATAGTGAGATTGTTGCTGGCTGGTGCCCATGGTTTTTCCCCTTCACATCGGAGGGGTTTTCCACGTTAAATCGTGTGTCTCCTCTGTGGCTTGATTCTTTACTTCATATTCCTATACATCGTTGATAACAATACGTGACACTCGCGGCGAGTATTGCGATCAGCATCACGTACTTTCGCTTTGGGTGACCTGCTTCTCCTCGACGACGGTGGTTGTCGTCGTCGTCGTTGTTCTCAGCTGTGCCACCGGCGTTGGCGGCGTTGGAGGACTGACGATCCCGGTGGTTGTCGTCGTCGTTGTTGTTCCCAGCTGTGCTGCCGCCATTGCCGTTGGCGTTGGACGACTGACGACCCCCTGGTGCTGATGTCGTCGGCGCAGGTGTAGATGACGACGCCCCCGGGTGCTCTTGTCGTCGTATACGTACAAACAAAGCCAGCAGCAGTGCTATGAAGACGCTGACACCTCCGACCAGCACGAAGACGTAGATGGACGTCCTCACCCTCCGTGCACTCCCCGCAGCGTAGGCACCCATCAAGACCAGCATCCCCACCAGCATGCACGCATACAGACCGTAGAATCGGATGCCTGCTGACTGGTACGTCCTGTGGTCCTGGAGCAAGATGATGAGCGCGATGGACGCCATGAAGCTCATCGCGTTACAGTAGAAGAAGGCTTTGTAACGGCGAGGGTAGGTGATAGCGGCCATCAGAATTGCAAACAGCAGCAGCCTCTTGCGCCTCTTCTTTAAGTTGCTTTCAGCATCGGGGTTGTGACTATTGTTAGGAGTGGATGTCAACCTGACATGGAGATAGGTCCCGGTGACATAGACAAGGAAAGCAGCAGCCAAGACAATGACATGGACAGAGGCACTCAAGGTTCGGCTGCTACCTGCAATGTATGCACCCACAAGCCCGAACAGGTCGAGTATCATGGCCACATGCAGTGCGTTCCGTTTAAGCAGGGCTTTAATCTGGACCATCAGGATGACAACTATCGATGCCACGAAAGCAGTCGAGTTGCAGTAGAAGAAGGTGATGTAACGCTTATCATCGGTGTTTGAAAGTATTGGGTCGCCAGCGTTGTGCCCATGGGAGCCGGAGCTGGACTGCTGGTTTTCCAGCCAAACGCCCCCGGGCGGGTTCAGCCCAGCTTGGTACGTGATACTTGCGCCCAGGGTGTCTAGCAGTAGAATAAGAGACCTCTCTTCCTGTAGTGACTCATCCGGTCCATCCCTGGCAAGCATCGAGATTAGTGTAACTCGCTCCCAAATGATTTACTATAATATGGTAAATATCATCCTGAGTTACTGTAACAGATATATTATAAATATATATTCATATCGTAAAATAGTACAAACATTATCTTAAATCAAGGTGGTCACAAAATCACTTATGCTATGGTGATTTATGATAATGTTTATGTAAAATTACGATAAAATGAATACATATAATTACAATATATGTGTTACTATAACTTATGGTAATATTTATCATAATGTTATATTAAATCACTTAGAAGGAGTTATAGTAATCTTATAAATTAGTACATTCATTAGGATAAGCTCAAATTAGTCATACAATAAGTTATTTTATGGCCACCTATAGAACCGTAATTCATATATATTTATAGTCGGAAAGTAAAATATTTATGTTATCAGTAATTACCTGTTGATGCTCAGCTGGCCAAATCCTCCCCTCAGTCACTCGATAAACCACCTTCCGGTGCATCCGGCCACCGCCGCGAGGAAGATAGATACGAGCACCGCGGCAACCAGCGCCACAGTATAGGTTGGGGTGGCAGTCACTACGCCAGATTCTTACAGCAGGAACGGGGGCATTTTTACTGTAGGGGTGGCTGGGGTTGGGGCGCCCCTACAGTGGGCGTCCTCGGCCCCAGCAGTCCAGCCGCCCCTACAGATGTCACTGTAGGGGCGGCTGGTAACCTGAGCCGCCCCTACAGTTGGGGCTGATCTGTAGGGGCGGCTCAATCACCAGCCGCCCCTGCAGCAGATGTCACTGTAGGGGCGGCTGGTAACCTGAGCCGCCCCTACAGTTGGGGTTGATCTGTAGGGGCGGCTCAATCACCAGCCGCCCCTGCAGTATCCATTTGTCTTTTTTTAAATTTCAAAATTTAAAAGATTCAAATTTAGTTAAATGACAAGATAACTAAAATAAAAGTTGTAGATATTGATGAGTTGAACAACTTTTGTATTCATCACTTTTACATCTAAAATCATTTAGGGTTTTAAAATTTGGTTTGAACTTGTCAAATTTTAAATTTTAAAATATGTAAAACATTGTCACATCCAAGTTTGATCAAACTTAAATGCTAAAGCATGATTTTAGAAATTTTTAGGAAAAAAACCATCACATTTGGAGTTAGTATGAGGAAGAACAACTAGTTACAAAGTTTACCCACAGATTAAAAAGAAAAATCACACTGTTCTAGATGATCCTTACATGATCATAGTGAACAGTGTGATTTCTTTTTTTAATCTATGGGTCAATTTTGTAACTAGTTTTTCTTCCTCATACTAACTCTAAATCTGATGATTTTTTTTCCTAAAATTTTCTAAAATCATTCTCTATCAATTTATTTTGTTGGTTTTGTCAATATATACATATGAAAAGTTTGAGCAATTTAAATTTTGAATTTCAAAAAAATGAAACTTCAGACAAGATTTTGGTACCCCAAATGATTTCAGCTGAAAAAGTGATAAATACCAAAGTTGAATAACTCATCAAGATCTATAACTTTTGTATTGGTCATTTTTTCATACGACAAAGTGGTATGACATTGTTCATAAATGTGACACATCTCTCGTAAGGTTTTATAAACTATGAGACATGTGTAAGATTAGTGAACAATGTGTGCTAAGAATTTATTAAATGAAGAAATGACCAAAATAAAAGTTGTAGATGTTCATGAGTTGAACAACTTTAGTACTCATCACTTTTTATGTTGAAATCAATTTGGGTCTCAAATTTTGGTTCGAACTTGTCATTTTTAAAAATTTTAAATTTGAAAGGTTCAAATTTTGTCAAATGACAAGATGACCAAAATAAAAGTTGTAGATCTTCATGAGTTGAACAACTTTTGTATTCATCACTTTTACATCTGAAATCATTTAGGGTTTTAAAATTTGGTTTGAACTTATTAAATTTCAAATTTCAAATTTTAAAATGTGTAAAACATTGTCACATCCAAGTTTGATCAAACTTAAATGCTGAAGCATGATTTTACAAATTTTTAGGAAAAAAACCATCACATTTGAAGTTAGTATGAGGGAGAACAACTAGTTACAAAGTTTACCCACAGATTAAAAAGAGAAATCACACTGTTCTAGATGATCCTTACATGATCATAGTGAACAGTGTGATTTCTTTTTTTAATCTATGGGTCAATTTTGTAACTAGTTTTTTTTCCTCATACTAACTCCAAATCTGATGATTTTTTTTCCTAAAATTTTTAAAATCATTCTCTATCAATTTATTTTGTTGGTTTTGTCAATATATACATATGAAAAGTTTGAGCAATTTAAATTTTGAATTTCAAAAAAATGCAACTTCAGACAAGATTTTGATACCCCAAATGATTTCATCTGAAAAAGTGATAAATACCAAAGTTGAATAACTCATCAAGATCTACAACTTTTGTATTGGTCATTTCTTCATATGACAAAGTGGTAATGACATTGTTCATAAATGTGACACATCTCTCGTAAGGTTTTATAAACTATGAGACATGTGTAAGATTAGTGAACAATGTGTGCTAAGAATTTATTAAATGAAGAAATGACCAAAATAAAAGTTGTAGATGTTCATGAGTTGAACAACTTTGGTACTCATCACTTTTTATGTTGAAATCAATTTGGGTCTCAAATTTTGGTTCGAACTTGTCGTTTTTCAAAATTTTAAATTTGAAAGGTTCAAATTTTGTCAAATGACAAGATGACTAAAATAAAAGTTGTAGATATTAATGAGTTGAACAACTTTGGTATTCATCACTTTTTATGTTGGAATCATTTTGGGTCTTAAATTTTGGTTCGAACTTGTTATTTTTTTATCCCAGCAAAACAGGCTCCACGTGGCTCTTCGCCGTTAGATCAAAACGGATGGTCGAGATGCACTAGGCTCAAAATAAAAATCGAGGAAGCCTAACTCTTGCATCTCATTTCTCCCGTCTCTCCTCTCTCTCGCCTGCAGCCGCCGCCCTCCCATGGCATCTTCTCCCCCCTCACCCTTGTAGCAGCCGAGGGCGGCCCTACCTCCCTTCCGGTTGGCGCACGCGGACCCGCCACCTTCAGCCCGGCGGTGCAGCAGCCTGCCCTCCTCAGGGAGGCGTGCGTGGCCTGTCCGCACCCATCTCACCCCGAGAGGCAAAGATCCCAGCCGCCGTCCTGTACGGCCGAGGGAGCAGCGGCGCCTACCGCTCGACCTCACGGAGTAGCGAGGGCGCGAGATCCGGTGGCAGTGGCCAGTTCTGTGGAGGACGCCGCGGGATCTAGCGACCTCGGCCAGCTCTGTCGAGGAGGGCACGGGTTCCGGTCAACACGTCGGACCTGTCCGTGGGGCGCGTCTACTTCGGCGACGGCGCGACGTATGTGGATCTGGACCTGCCAGGCCACTCGTTCTAGGATCAGGAGATACGGCAGCAGATCTTCGACTCCAACGACGCGTCCGGCCTGCCCCAGATGGACGGCTTTGTGCAGCAGCCAGCAGGCGTGGTCCATCGGCGGCGGCAA